GCTCTGGTAAAAGTGTCATTCCCATAGCTACAGCTTTCACTAGCTCTTCATCCATAGCCACATGGCTGTCAACTTTCACTTTTTGTGTGTAAAAAGGCTAGTTGAAGTGTGCCCTGTAGGGGTTTGTGGACAGCACCTTGTGGTAGAGTGCTTAATGAGAGTTAATATTACTGGAGTTCCTAAGTGATTTACCTGCAGGGCAGAGAACTTTGGTGGGGGTGAAAAGGAAAAGTCTGATTACCAGGTTCCTGCAGTGTTAATTTCATTTTCAAGGCTGACAGGTAATTAGCGAACAACCAAATTTTGGGGAAACTGAAATTATACTTATAATAGCCGCTCTGTTGACATAACCACAAGTAATAACCACATAACTGCAGTAAGACATCTACAATGAAAAAAACTATATGAGAAGAAGAAAATTAGATCCATGCACCGGAACCTCACATGAAACTACGGGTGGAAATGTACAAAGCATCCTGTTCTTGCCTTTCTTTCATCACATTTATTCCTTGCGACACTTTAATTCTGTGACCTCTATAATATATGCAAGAGTAACATATTGTGTACATAAGAGTGGCTAAACCACTAAGCATAATCTCTTTCCTTGAGTTCATTTTGCACAGTGGCTGCCTGCCTGTAGGATAACTCATCCTGTTGTGAATTCTGGCATTGGGAAGAGAGCAGGTTCCAAGGATAGCAATTCCAACTTTAGTAGAGGTGACTTGTAATGTGAAGTGCACTTGGACTGTCTGGACACTGGTTGGCAGACAAAATTAAATGCTGGAAAGAGCTCATGCTGTGAGATTCCTTCCAAAGGCAATGTAATCCTCTCTACATACTTGGAGAACTGTTAGCTCTGTAGTTAGTTACAATGAGGGATGCCTTAGAGTGGATTGGAGCTGGTGTGGGGAGGGTGGTTTGTCAAGGGGATTGGATGATGTCAAGACCATAGCTACCTTTGTGCCTCCCCAATTTTGGCCCCCGTTCTCAGCATAATTTACAGCAGATGCAGGGATTGCTTTTCCTTAGAATAACTTTGAACATCCCACTTTGACTGCACTGTGGTTCCCCAAACATCTGGAGTATAGAGCACTCTGACCACAACTCCTCCATTACATAATATTCTCACTACCATCCCCTACAAACATTGGTCACTACAGGAGGATGGCACAGCAACTTTGTTCACCCTACCTCACCCAGGGAACTCTGCACCAGGAGAATACCCAGGTGCCAAGATACAGGTATTTTCAAGCCCTTTATGGCCCAGAAACAAAATGTAAAGGGACCAGATCACAGCCCTTGGTGACTACTGTGAAACCCATTGGTTTTGCACAGGTAACTAATTGGAATGGAATGTAAAATTCAGTTGATGAATACAATCCAGCTCCCTCTCTTGTTGCTGTGTTGGCTCAGCCGGGCTAACAGGAGTAAAAGGCAGTGAAAACTTATTTTTGCCATGAAAGTGAAATGGATCTGACTCCCCGTGTACAGGGAGCAGCTCTGTGAAGTAGGAAGGTGCCTGTTCTACAGGATAGAATGCTCATTAGCTGGCATAAACCTGTTGATTTATTGCAATAGATGTCAGTGGCCTAGAGAATCCACATAGAAAAGAGAGAAAGAGGTTAAGTAGATCTGTACGTCTCACTTCCTGGCATGAACCCCTAGTTTTTATTATATATGACATCACCTGTATTCCCAAAGTATGAATCTCTTTGAGAATGAGCAGGTATGTCCTAACTAGCCAGGAAGTGAGTTATCAGTCATCTGTATCAGAAGAGTTCCTTCATAAAGGCTGATATACACCCATGTGCAGAGGGGGTTAGTATGAGGCTAACACATCACTTTCTATTTATTGCATGAAATGCAGTAGCGTCTAGAGGGCCCCAATCAAAACTGGCCCCCTGCTGTACAAACACATCATGAGAGGCAGTCCCTGCCCCAAAGAGCTTACAACTTAAATAGACAAGACAGAAAGGGTGGGAAGAGGGAACAAAAGAACAGAGAAAATTACTTGCCCATGGCCATACAGCAGCTGGAAATTGGGCAATTGATGGAGATTTGGGTTCTATCTATTGAACTACATCAGTTCTCATTCTGAGGGCTTAAGTGTAACGTAAGTAGTGCAAAATCCTCATTCCAGCCCTCTGCATGGTGGGGAGGAGAATAAATCATACACAGAGGATTTAGCTTATATTCCCTATTGCCCCTCAGTGCCCTAAGTCACTGCCAGAATGAAGGCCTAAGCCAAGAAAAGTTTTATCTTTTGCACAAATACGGATTTGACATTTTTTCCAGCTTTGCTCGGGCCAGTAATTAAAAAGCCTAGGAAGTGAGCATACATGAAATCATTCCTTCCGTACAGGCAGACAGATGGAGAGAAATTCCAGTCTGTTTCCACTCTTTTGTCTTCAGGGCATTTTTGGAATTTCCTTCAGGAAGTGAGAGGTTCTGACCTAAAGCCTTCCTCAGTTAGTAGGCTCCAGTTTCCCACAGTAAACCTTGCACAGAAATGACGTACTGCATAAGAAGGTGAGTTTTATCTTTACGCCCCAACTGTATCCTGTATAAGCTCAATGAAACTTTTAAAGTATTACCTAGAGAGAACGGCAGCAATAGGGGAAATGGAAGAGTCAAATCTTGGAAGAAATACAGTAGCTACTGAAAAACATTGGCCAGATCCTCAGCTAACAAAGTCAGTGGAGTGACATTGATTTACACCAGTTGAGGCTCTGACTTTATATTTTAAATATAAACCACCTTGATGTTTGTAATAAGCTGACAGCAAAATTCACAACTATTTTTAAAGATCCCCCCCCCATTTCCATAGATAAATATAACAAAAATGGGACTGGTTAATATATAACTTAATTTCTAATGCATGATCTCCTGAATTACATGGTATTTCACTTACTCCATTCTGGACAGTAAACTGCAGTAATCTCCATTATTTGCCATAGTGAAATTTCTTGATCTGGAGCATAGATATATCCAGGTTCTTTTATTGGCACCCATCACCTTTCTATTGGAGCACCTGTTCTTGTACCCTTTTATATTGCCTATATTGTAAATAAAGGTGTCATTATGGATCTCTGTCCTTAATTGAACAGAAATGTCATGCAGAATCAGCTTGATCCAATGTCTATTGAAATCAATGAGAGTGTTTCCACTGACGTCTATGATCAATGAATCATGCTCCATATCTTGATGATAGTACAAAAAAAATTGTGATAGTAGCATCTTAAAAAAATCAGTTTATTAATGTTTAGAAATCAATAAAGCTATGTGCAAATTGAACAATAAAGTCAAACATTTTAAATACTATTTTTTAAAAACAAAGAAAAAAATCAGTTTAATTGCACTGGAAATCATACTACAAAGACATTTTTATAGAAAATCACTTCTAGGTTTCGACAATAACTGTACATTAATCAATTGTTCAGCTACCCCGATACACTTTTTTGTTATAGTAATGCTCTAGGTGTTTGAAGACTTCTGCATCTCGTTAATTATATATATTGTATACATTCAACCCCCTTAATGCAGGTTAGAAAAATACTGTAATAGAAATGATGCCATAAAACAAATACATTCAATTTAAATTAAAGGTATTTCTTACGTGAATTGATAAAATACAGACATCTTTGCTGAAATTATGAACATTCTAATACAAAGAACACAAAGTAAGTGTCAAAAAATTTCTTGCATTTTGTTATGGAAGTACATTTATATGTCATCAAAAGCCATTTCACTTGGACAAAGGTCCTTTTTTGTTTCTCTGAATCTCATGGTATTCTATACAGATTTTCTAATCAATCTTTACTATGGAAACTCTATGGGCCAAATCCTGAAATTCTTTTTCAGTTTTTACTCTGTCCTTACTCAGTCAAAAACACTGATGCTAATAGTACTTGATACTACAGACGCTCCCCGGGTTGCGCAAACCCGATTTATGGAAATCTGGACTTACGGAAAAAGTTCCGTAAGTTCCATAAGCTTTTTGTGTGTGTGTGTGTGTGTGTGTGTGTGTGTGTGTGTGTGTGTGTAATTGTCGGAGATAAATTCCCGACTTACGCAAAACTTGACTTATGCAAGGCGTTCCGGAACGGAACGCCTTGCATAAGTCGGGGAGCTTCTGTATTATATTTATCTTGTCAAATATCACATGTTCATTTTCTCTTTAACTGTAGTTTTATCCTGTAACTATTATGGTCATGTAATTTATTTCATACTAAATGTAACAAATCAATAGACCTATGGGGCCAAATGCTATTCTGAGCTCCTCCCATTCAATCCTATTGACTTCTTTGGGGTTATATGAATGCAATCTAATGCAGAATCTGGCTCATGATCTTAAAAGTAATATGGATTTTCAGCACAACTTCACAGAACTGATCTTGCTAAAGAAAAGCTTTGGACTCCGCAGATGAAATCTTATTACATCTAAAAACTCAGGAAAGTGATGCCAACCTATGGTTGTCAGTGATCTAGATTACATTGGTGTGATCTCCTTCCTGCTACATGCCAAATGGCAAACACTTGTGACCCAGGATAGTAGAGCTATCCCTAAACTTGGTACAGAAAGATCTTTTGTGTCAGGGCTTTTTCTGCAAGTAAAGAAATAATAACTTCACATTCTTCACAAAGAAAAAAACAATTCATTCTCCCACCCTCCTCCTTCTGCCTCTCAGTCATGCACACACTCGCACACACACGGCACCATTTCACCAAGGCATCAGTCTTTCCAAGTTATGAATACTCCTGGCAATCCTGAGTCTGCCTCAGTGCAAAGACAAAACATGCTCCAGAGGGAAATATTTTCAAGCCAGAACAGTCTGTCCCACTTCCTGAACTCCACCCTTGCAAGTGCCCTGCTTGCCTCTTCAGAACTAATGCTATCTTGCTCACTTAGGCCATCTCTCTGGAGTTGCTACAGTGAGCAGGTAGCTTCTTGTCTGTCAGGTTTCAAAGGGGAGGCTTTAAAATATGCCTCCTATGGATACTTCTAAGAAGACGAGGTGACATTGCCTGAAGACATGATTGTCTCCGGGCAGTCACCCTCATCCTTCTGTGGGTGGGAGGAATTGTCAGATTTGCTTCGACTAAACTCCATGCCTCCTATGATTGGCCTCTTGAATTTGGCTCCAGAATCTGCAGAGGGGCATTTGCAACAGCACAGGATCTTGATGAAGGCCCTCCGCATCTCTTTGTTGGTTAAGGTATAGATGATAGGGTTCGTGGCTGAATTGAGCACAGCCAGTACTAAGAAATACTCAGCTTTGAAGAGGATTGAACAGGCCTTCACTTTGCACCCCACATCCAGCAAGAGTAGGATGAACAAGGGACTCCAGCAGGCAATAAATGCGCTCAGGACAATGATCACTGTCTTGAGCAAGGCTAAAGATTTCTCTGAGCTCCTCGTGGCTTTGGTAATGTTTTTTCGAAATGTCAGACTGCGGCTCCTAGTCCTGACCATGGAATAGATCCTGCAGTAGAGGACGACAATTGATAATAAAAGACCAGTGAAAACTGTGGTGCAAAAGAGAATATAGTGCTTATGGTAGAGGGGCAGCACAGTGGAGCAACTCTGCAGGTGGTTGAGGCAGTTCCAGCCCATAATAGGGAGCCCCCCTAGGATCATGGATATCACCCAGCAGGCACTGATCAGTAGGAAGGAGCGGAAGCTGTTGCTCCCATTGTGGAGTTTCATCTTCAGCATGGTGATATACCTCTCAATGGCAATGGCCAGCAGGCTGAAAACAGAGGCTGACAAAGCTACAAACATGCTGCCTTCCCTGACAAACCACTGGGCAGGGGTAAGACTATAGGTTTTGTGTCCAGATAACAAAAGGTTGGCAGTATAAGCCACCCCAGCCAGCAAGTCTGAGAGAGCCAAATTCCCAATGAAATAGTACATGGGTCGGTGAAACTTCTTGGTTTTCCAGATAGTCAGCAGGACAAAAATGTTCTCTAAGATGATAAAGCAACAAATGATGATAAAAACCACTGAGGTCACTTTTATTCCACTGTCTGCCTTCTCGTTTAACTTCCCTGTGTAGTTGTAATGTTTCTTAATGATTTCAGAGTTGACATAATCGCTGACTGAGTCATTGAAGACTTTCTTCTGGCGGCTGCTGGTAGAGCCCATGGTTCCAGGCTGAGTGGCACTTCTCCAGCCACCCACCAGAGGGTGAAGTCAAGTAGAAACCTCACGGGCCACCCTGGTGGCAGTATCTTTGAGGTGGAGGCTCCAGTGTCTGGTACTCTCTGGGTAACCTCAGATGCCACAGCCCTTAAAGCAGGGGCATAAACAAAGCAAAGAGTCAGAGGAAGGGATGCAAACAAGGTGGCAAACTGAAAACAATATAAAACAATCTGTTCATTTCACTGCATGTCAGATTTAAATATTAGATCACAAACGAATCAGTAAGGTCCATTCACCCTCTCCCCCCACCTTGTAAAAAAAATGGTTCAGCAAATTAAATAGATAACGCTCATCCAATAAACTTTTTTTCTTAATGCAGATTTGCACAAATAAGTAGGAGGCAATGGGGCTTGCACTGAGTGTCTGGATCTCACCCGGTGCGAGGGATCCAAGGTAAGTCAATGGAAAATACAGGTTCCATCTGTCTCTCTCAATTTCTCAAACTTTTGACATAGGAAACACCTTTTAAAAGTTCAGGTTTAGAAAGAGAAAAGGCTTGATTTTTTTTAAATGCAACTGAAAATGCACAAAATAAGTCCGGCATGAAAATCACTTGACTGGAGCGACCTCACTGTTTTTCCACTATTAACATTCTAAATGTGTTGTGAGGGAGGGCAGTTCTGCAATTTATTGATGCCATCTTGAGAAGAGGTAAAGGGGTGGGTGTTCACTGATATGTGTAAAGAGACCCATCTCAAAGCTGTAAGCAGAAAAGCTGCCCCTAATCACTTCTATTTGGCAAGATCATCCTTTGCAAAAGTTGTGCCAGTGTAAAATTCAGAAAAGCAAATAAAATAAGCTATCAAACACGTTTTGAAACAAAGGAATGAGCAAATGTCAGTTTGGAATTTAGTTATTGCAAATAAAAATACACATGTATAAACACACAAAAAAGTAAATTTATAAGGCTTGCAAAATTATAGGTGCCACTTAAGGGTGGAAGTAAAACAAAAGCAAATTAGCTGTATTAAATAATGCAAGGAAAGCAGAAAATAAAAGATTATAGAAGTAGAGAAGCAGAAAGTGGAGTCCTAGGTGCCTAGCATGTTAAGGTGTGATATACAGGAGTGATTTATTGAGTGATCAGATTATTACTTCTCTATCAAATTCTCTCAGAGATCTCACTAACAAATTTGTGTAATTTTACTGTGAAATATTCTTTGCCTACTCCTGGCCAAACAGTTGCTAATGCTGAATAGTTGACAGCTGCTAAGGACACTGGCTATTCTACTTCACTCATCAAAATGAGAATCACAAAGCAGAAACTACATAAACTCTGTGTTTGTATGGTGCTTGGCACAATGGGCCTCCATTCCTGGATGTTCCTTAGGTACACTACCATAATAAACATGAGTAATAATAATTAAAGCTAAACCCACATCTACTCCAGCAGAAAGTAACGGGAGGCTCAGCTGCCTATGAAGGAAGCTCTTGAGTCAGTAATCCATCATTTATTCTGGGGAAGACTCACTCGGAGCATCGATTTCTAAATGGGGATTTATACCAAAAAGCTGTTTTCCTAGTGCCAGCGTCCCAAACTGTGCTCCCAATGCTTACCTTGCTCAGAAAGGATTCGGTCTCTGAAGCCACTGCATTGCCTGCACTCCGCATCTCTGCTGCCCCAGAAGGAACTCAACTTGCATAACAAAGCCAAGTTGGCTTTAAACGTTTCCTTTAGCTAGTGGTCTCCACCCCTTGGGTTTCATATTTTTCTAAAGAGAAGATTTAAGCAGCTTTTTTAACTCTTCAGTGACCACAGACTGATTGCGTTGCATCTGCTCTGCTGGGTTCCTTGAAACACAGCTAAATTAGAGCTCGGAACCCTAGATAGGGTGCGGTGCCCTAACTGAAATCATTCAACCAGAGAAGCTGCGGGCAGCCAGACTCACTCCTCCCACCCTTTTCTCTTGTGCCGGAGCTAGCGCTCCGCTGCCGGCTGGGAAGGGTTAAATCCCTTCTCCCTCCTGCTGCAGTGGCTGTAGCAGATCGGGGGGTGGGTGTTTAACACAAAACACACATGGAAAGAGGCGCTGAGGAGCCAGCCTCAAAGCTGGTGGGAGCCCCTCGAGGAGTCACACTGGAGCCAGCTTGGTACAAAGCAGGACTAGCCTCTTCCTCTCCCTTCTCCCCCCAGATTTCATAGCCAAGTCAGCGACAGGATTCAGATGAGGAGCTGGGGAGACCCGAGATTTCAGCCAGAGGTGGGGGGAGACCTAGCACTAAATGACTTCATTCTTTTAACCCTTGAAAGACATCCCAGGCTCCCACCTCCCAGCTACCCCCTGCTTCAGGCACTAGGCAATGTCACCATCTCTGGGATCCTTGCTCCAGAGGGGCAGCAGTGCCCCACAGGGGGAAAGGCTGTGTTTGAATCGTGTTGGCTCCCTCTAGTTGGCTTAGCATGCTTGAAATGCCTGTCGAGATGCCCACTTTGCTAAGCAAACTGGATTGAGCGAACAGACCCTTCTGCCTGGCAAGGCAGGGCAAGCGTGTGGTGAGTGGAACCCTGTACATCAGCTACCCTGGGAAAGCAGTAGTTTGGCCAGGAGAACTCCCTCCTTCAGCCCTTGGAGGCAAACAATGGCACCGCAGGTCTTCTTCCTTTTCACTGCTGCCCAAGAATATCACAGCAGCAGCCAGGACCCCACTTCTGCCGCCAACACTAGGATAGCAACAACTGAGGCCTGGGCTCCCCTCTTCCACCAGCAGACATTGGCAGGCTCCTGCAGCTCCAAATGTTAATGCCAGGACCTGCCTCTCTCCTGAGAGCAGATGGCCTATGCTGCGAGCAGTGTGCTCCATTTGAGCTCCTTGACTGTGTGCGATGACAGCATATTCAGGGGCAGCAGGTTTGTATAATTTTTGGTGGTGTCCAGAACGGGTCAAAGTCCTGACCCCCCCCCACCTGCATATTGGTGCACATAACAAAATTAATGGGGTGGGGCCCAGGGGTTTGGAGTGTGGGTTCAGGGCTGGGGCAGACGGTTGGGGTGTGTGGGGGATGAGGGCTCTGGCTGGGGCTGGCGATGAGGGGTTTGGGGTGTGGGAGGGCCTCAGGGCTAGGGCAGAGGTTTGGGGTCCAGGGGTGAGGGCTCTGGCTGGGGCTGGGGCCAGAGAGGACTCCACAGTCCCCCCAGCCCTCTCCACACCTGCAGCAGCGAGTTCCAGGGGAGGGACCCCCCACTTCCTCCCTGGCAGCACATTCACCAGGCACCGTCACTGCACATGCTCCTAGGGGTCAGGCCCCTCTCAGGTCCAGAAGCCTCCTCGCCTCCCTGTGGTAGGTGCCAGGGATGGGGGTGGGGCTCTCATCATGTGTGCGCCTCCTCAGCCTGCCGCCGGCGCCGCTCCCTTTTGTAGCCAGCAGTGACCGGCGAGGGAGCACAGCGCAGAGTGGCAGGGCAGTCGCCCGCTGCCCAGGGCACAGGCAGGGACGCTCCGGGGGAGGTGCGCAGGGGCAGCAGGCGGGGCTGGAGGATGCTCCAGGGGAAGCGCGCAGGGCGGCTAGGGGAGAGACCTGGCCCCGAACATTGAGGGAGCCGGGCCCCCAGGCCCTGAATTTTCTGGAGCACGGGCACCACGGGCCCATATAACTTGCTGCCCCTGAGCATATTGACCCCAGAGCCAGGGGTCATAGGCATGGACCTTTATGCCAAATAACTAATCCATCTCTTATTCTTCCCCCTCCTGCCCATTAATTCCAACATCTACCTTTCCTATGCCTAGAGGACCACAGGTTCCAAACTAGGATTTGTCACAGATGAGAAGGAAATTCCAGCATCTCTTCTGTTCTTTCCCCACAAGAATTTCTCTAGATAGGGTTAAGAGGCAAAGAAATCAGGATGACAATGACGGAGACCATACCAAAAAATAGTGTCAGTGTGCCATTTGTATGTCATTGCATGTGCTTCTGCTTCAGCTGTGGATTTTAAAAGTAACACTTGTGAAATGAGTTGAATAAAAGGTCTGTTGTTTTTGCCTCTAAAAATGGAACATTTCTCATTGTTTTGTGCTACGCTGTTATACTTGATCCCCTTTTGTGGGGAAGTTCTTATCTACAAAAGGCAGTGTGGGCTAGTGGAATGACCATGTTTTGGGTAGCTAATAGCACTTGAGATCGGACACTAACTCCCTGTGTAGCCATGAGTAATTCACCTAAATTCACTGTGTATCAGATTTCCCATCTGTATAAAGAAAAAAAAAAAACCACTTACCTTTTGAACTTCCCTCACAGGGTTTGTGTGTGTGTGTGTGTGTGTGTGAGCATCCTGAGGATTGATTAATATTTGTAAATATCTGAAGATGTGA